CCCGCCCCCTCCCCCGCCACCCTAGAACACAAAGCAGCTTCTGTCCAGAGCATCGGTGCCGATAATCCGGGGTGGGGGCACATTCCGGGGACCAGCCCCGACCGGCCCGGAGGATTAGCATCTCTCCCCCAGCCCAAGGGATTATCACCCCGGACCCCCACTTGAGCATTAACCTTCCCCCAAGTGAATTCGCACATTCCACAACAATTCGACGTGGGGTTGGCGGGGATGGGAGGCGGAGGGTGGAGGAAAAAAATGGACCCGGGATTTCAGGCAGCACCGCCCCCACCCCCACCCCACTCAAACCCCCAGGAATCAGGTCCAACTCTCGGGGCTCGTCTTTCCCATCCCCACCCAGCTGCTCCCACTTCGGCCTGACCCCTTGTCCTGACCCCCCACCCGTCCCCCCACCTAGTCTTCTCGGCTCTTCCTCCTAACCCAGAGGTTGGGGGCGGAGGCCCCGGACAACCTCCAGGCTGGGCGCCCAGGGCAGGCCTGAGAAGGACAGAATAGGGGGTCGCAGGGGATGGGTGTCGTCTGGAACCCGCCCAGGAGCTGGGAGGGCCGGCGGCGCCTCCCTGAGACTACTACCCCCTCCTGGTGGCAGGGGGCGCGACACCCTCGCCTTAGGCAACGGGAAGAAGCGGACCCCGGATCCCGCTTCGGACCAGCACTCCGCTCGCCTCCCCATCCTTCTCCCCAAGACCTCGCTTCCCCGCGCCCCAGTCTCCGCCCTTTCCTCCACTTCCACTCCCTCCCCGCTCCGAGTCCCGAGTTCCCCCCTTTCCTTCCCCCTCCCTTCCTCCCTCCGCGGCCCTGGCCCTCCCCCGCCGCCACCTCTCGGCTTACCCGCTTGCTCTGGACTTCGAGCCTGGGGGTCTTGGGGTCTCTCCCCGCTCTCCGGCGCCCTCGCGCGCTCCCGACGACTCCCCCTTGCCCACCTCGGAACGCGCCCCCGCCGCTCCCAACTTCTTCCAACTCAACTTTCCCCCGCGCCGTGGGCAGGCCAGCCCCCTGCGTGCGCGCCCCCCGGCGCACCGTGCGCGGCCTCGCGTAGCTGGTGCGGAGGCGGGGAGCCGCCGCCAAGACCCGGCGGCGGAAGCGCGCTTCCAGGCACTGCCAGGCACCCGAGCCTCGCGTCCGGGAGCCCACCCCCCGCTGTCCCGCGGCCGGGCCCCGCGAGGCCCCCCCCCCAGCCCCGGGCTTCCCCACACGGGGCTCGGGCGCCCCGGGGACGCAGTCTCTTAGCTCCATGAGGCACAGAAAAGAGTCCGCCTCACGCTGGGTATCCCAGGCAGGAAAACGGAGGCACAAAGATGATCAAGAAATTTGGAGCGGAGGAAGTTGAAATATAAATGCATCGGGGTCAAGATTCTCTCTTGCCTGCCGACCCTATTCCCCAATTACCCCCAGTGCCTCCAAGAAAGCCCCTGGCTTTGCTTGGAGGGCAGGGCGGAGCGGAGGGGTGGGGGCGCCGAGAAGGGTGATGCGGGATGGAGGCTTGATGCCCTTTACCCTGAGCTGAGCTAGACTTTCCGAAAGTGGAACTTCTGCCTGGGAGAGATTCCCTGCCGTCACCTCCCTCACTTTATTCATGATTGTCACCTGCCTTTTAAAAACCTGCCTACTTCTCGTTTCCTCAACTAAATTATAAATCCTTCCAGATAAGAAATATATTTTTCGCTTCTTTTCTGTCGTCTGCCGCTGGGTGAAGCACAGCATCGTGTATGCAGAAAACGTTCAGATATAAACGAGTTAATTGACAAATGTTTAGCACCAACTCTGGTTCCTGCGCCGAGGAGTGCTGTTTGGGGCTGTTTTCGTCCAGTTCACAGCCCTCAAAAATGCAATCATGAGAAAATTAGAGAGCAGTGCAAGAAAATCTGTAATCAACTCCTTAAGGGATGAGGTCAAGGCTGTTTGTTGCAAGTGTAGCCATCCGTCTGTGCTTCTGTCTGTTGAGGGCGGTAACCAACCTGCCAGCCCTCGGCCACACCCTGGCTGACTCCAGTGGGCCCAGGCTCTGGCGACTGGTATAGGGATGGGGGTGGGGGAAACGACTCCCAATGCTCCAGCCCGCTTGCCTCGGGATGTCAGAATACAGCGAGCGACTAGAGTCAGATGGGCTCCCAGCCGACAAACAGGGTCCAGAGAAAATAATGGTCTCTGTCGTATATTTCAAATGGGGCACACCTGCCTCTTTGCCCATCCCTATGGTCAGCTGGTCCTTGTAAAGTCATTATCAGCTCGGAGCCATTCTCCAATCAACCCTAGGGGCACCAGATGACCTGGGATGAAGTAGAAACACATGCTGAGATTGTCAGGAGGTCGTTGGGACCTCAACACCATCAACCGGTTCAGAGCCAGGCCACAAAAGCCCGAGATGTATGCCGTCAAATCCCAAAACCCAGAGAGCGCCCCACCCCTGCTGCATTCTGGAACGTGCAGTCCCGAAGAGGCCCTTTACAAACTAAAGTTGTCATCACAGAAAGAAATAACAAGTGGGAGGCACACTAGGAGCCGCGGCGTTTGGTCTGAGCGTCGGGAAAGCGGACACGTGGTGCTTCCTGGGACTTGAAGTCCAGGGTTTGCCTCCGCGATTGAACCGGAGACCCGGGAGACGAGTGCTGCAGAGAGTCTGAGCGCAGCCTGCTGGGGGTTGTAGTTTTGTTGTCGAAAGCCCCTGGCATTACTGGGAAACCTGGTCGTCCTAGGACTACAAGCCCCGGAAGCCCATGCGCAGGCAGGAAGGCGGGGCAGGGCCAGAGGCTAGGGTGCCGCCTCCTCTGCAACGCCGGGGCCGAAGTATTAGAACCGAGGGCCCGCAGGGGTCCCCGCGGCTGCCGCGATGCAGAAATACGAGAAACTGGAGAAGATTGGGGAAGGTAATGGGACCACCAAATGTTCCTACACGATCTTCTGCATTCCTTGCATCTCTAGCTCCTCTACCATCAGCAATGCCCAGACTCCGACCTCAACACTGGCTGCCTCCCTGGCCTCGAGCTTAACACTCCGTGCAGACAACAATCCTCCCGTCAGCATTTCCTGCAGACGCCCCCTCTCAACCTTAGCACTCCCTGTAGCCCCGATCTCCCGACCTCAGCACTTCCTGCATTTCCTACGCCCAGCTTCAGAACCACTTAAAGAATCCCCCCCAGCCTCAGTGCTCGCAGCAGACCTCCAACCTCAATATTTCTGCCGGCCCTCATTCCTTTCCCAGACCCCTGCTCACTATTTCCAGACCCTCCCAAAGCACTGCCTTTGTTATAGACCTCCTACCCTGGCAGCCACAGCCTCTCCCTGCTTCAGACACGTTGAGCCTCAGCAGGCCCCTTCTCTGCCACGTCCTCACTCACAAAGCTCTGCCATGCCCGGCCTTCACCCTGAATCTCTTCCCTTATTCCTACAGGCATCAGAAATACACTCCCGTGATGCCTCCCCTCCCGGGAGGGACTTCCTAGGATGCCCCATCCTTTCCCTCACCCCTGATCTCCTTCCTCTAGGCACCTACGGAACAGTGTTCAAGGCCAAAAACCGGGAGACTCATGAGATCGTGGCTCTGAAACGGGTGAGGCTGGATGACGATGATGAGGTAGGACTGGAGCACCTGGGCCAGGGGGATGGTTGAGGGCCTAGGCAGGGTGGGATGTGACTGTATATTCCCACTCCCGGTACCCTCCTATGCGTAGGGAGTGCCGAGTTCTGCCCTTCGGGAAATCTGCCTACTCAAAGAACTGAAGCACAAGAACATCGTCAGGTGTGTAGACTGTCAGGGTCCTCCTTGCCTGTGTGGCCGGTTGGAGGAGGTGGGGGCTTCAGAGATGGGTTGTACTGGTAGTGGGATATTAGGCCACGCCCGTGGACCTGCCTGACCAAGTCCTTATTTTTCCCTAGGCTTCATGACGTCCTGCATAGCGACAAGAAGCTGACTTTGGTTTTTGAGTTCTGTGACCAGGTGAAAGGGAGATTTGGGGGACAGTAGCCTTGGGAGGGTATAGGGGCCCAGACTAAGGTTAAACTCTGTCCTGTTCCCTCATCCCCACCCCGTCCCCTTTTAGGACCTTAAGAAGTATTTTGACAGCTGCAATGGTGACCTAGACCCTGAAATTGTGAAGGTGAGGGGGCTGGTGTTGTGGGGATTGTGGGGACTCATGGAGGCCGGGGTTGGAGTCTATATTCAGTATACCTACTCTTTGAGCACCTGAAGTTCGGGCCCTGAACATGGACACACTGGGATGTCAGGGACTGAGAAAACCCTGTTTCTGCTCTCCAGGGGCCTCCATCTTAGCGAGCATTTTCACATGAGCTCTTTCACCTGACAGCAGTGCTCTGGTCTCAATGATATGATTTACACTTGACAGATGAGAAAATGAGATTCAGAGAAATACGTTCATTCATTCAACAAATACTGAATGCTTTGCCATGCACCAGGCACAGTTCTAGGCCCAAGGCCAAGTGCCTTGTCCCAGGTTCCAGGGGTAACTGGTGCTGAATAATAATACAGCACAATATATATGTTGATGGTCACGATGTGTGTGTTCACATGAGGCCAGGTAGGGGAGAGGTCACTGTGGGCTTGGAAAGTAGGAAGGCCCACTAGGCTCTAAGTTTCAGAAAGGTGGGGACCAGGGCCCCTGTTCACTGTTTGCTTCTAATACTTCACTTTCAGCGTAATATAAAGTAGGTCCTCAATAGTGAATGAATGATGTCGAACTGACCTTGGTGCTGAAAGACAGGTTGGTTCCAGGTAAAGCAGAGGGTTGAAGAGGGGCGTGTGATCCATTGCTGGGCACAGCTTCCTTTCCGGAGGGTCTGATGCCTTCCTGCCTGCCCCTCCCCCAGTCATTCCTCTTCCAGCTGCTAAAAGGCCTAGGATTTTGTCACAGTCGCAACGTGCTGCACAGGGACCTGAAGCCCCAGAATCTGCTCATAAACAGGGTACCTCTCAGGGCGAAGGTGGGAGATTGGGGAGGCTGGTGTTGAGGGCGAGCGATAAGGGAGCCGGCCTTCACACTGTTGAAACGCCCCTCTCTTGTTCCTCCCATCTCCATCATCAGAATGGGGAGTTGAAACTGGCTGATTTCGGGTTGGCTCGAGCCTTTGGGATCCCTGTTCGCTGTTACTCAGCTGAGGTGAGCTGGGGAGTGTGATATGGGGGTGAGGGAGGGTGTCCCTAGTGAGCATCTCTCAGCTCCCACTCCAAGACCCAAAACATTTTCCCCTCCTTTCTGAGCTGCTCCTCCCAGCCCTCTAAGTGGGCGGTCCCTGTGGGTGGGGTCTTCTCCAGGTGGTCACGCTGTGGTACCGCCCACCGGATGTCCTCTTTGGGGCCAAGCTGTACTCCACGTCCATCGACATGTGGTCAGCCGGCTGCATCTTTGCAGGTGATGCTGCGGGTCTGCAGAGGCACTTTCTCTCCTTTTTGGGTTGCCCAATAGGGTTTGGAGGGTCCCCTTGGGGATGGGGGCACAGAGGGTCCCATGGGAATGATGGGTGCTTCATGTGTCAGGTCCTCTCACCCCCTCCTCTTTCTCCCAGAGCTGGCCAATGCGGGGCGGCCTCTCTTCCCTGGCAACGACGTAGATGACCAATTGAAGAGGATCTTCCGATACCCTTCTATTACCATTCGCCTTGAGCCCTCTGGAGGGGGGGTGATGAGCCGTGGAGCTCAGAATGCAGAGTGAGGGTGGTGATGGACTAGGCCAGAATGGAGAGGGGCTCAGGGCTTCTGAGGGTGGTTGACACCGCTGGTTGTCACAGTGCAGCTGCATGCTGCCAGCTGGAGAGTGTGTGACATATAGACAAGGAGGGCTCCTTGGGGGAGGAAGCCAAGAGGAGGCTCCTCCAGCTGAGAGGGGACTTCTTAGGACCAGGGAGCCAAAAGGAGCAGGCGGAGGATCGGTGGGAGTCAGGGAAGGCTCACTGGTCATCAGGACCATGGATATCAGGGTTTAGGTCAAAGCAGTTAACCTTTTGTATCAGTAGCTCCCTGCCTGCAGTAAACACCGTGCAGATGGGACTAAAAATGATAGTTACATGTGTTGGGGCCGCTTCTGTTGTGACCTGGGGGGTAAAGCGAGGAAGGCAGGGGTGGGTATGAGGAATATCCCCTGGGAGGGGAAGAGCCCCCCCACCCCCCAGCCCCTTTGCACTGAGTGATCCTTGACCCCATGGACACCCTGCTGGGGACACCTACTGAGGAGCAATGGCCCGCCATGACCAAGCTGCCAGACTATAAGGTGTGATGGGGATGGGGAGTCACGGTTCATTGGTGGTCCCTCTTCTGTCTCAGCTCTGGCAGCCTCCACACCCTACACCCTGGTCTGACTCTCCCTGCCCCCCCACAGCCCTACCCAATGTATCCAGCTACAACGTCCCTGGTGAACGTCGTACCCAAGCTCAATGCCACAGGGAGGGACCTGCTGCAGGTGACCGAGGGCAGGGGTAGAGGGTGGTCAGGATACTTGTCCAGAGGGCCTGGGGGAGGGTGGGCTCTGGGCCGCTGACCCTGCCTGACCCTGCCACACCTTCCTTTCGTGCCTCTAGAACCTCCTGAAATGTAACCCTGTCCAGCGCATCTCAGCCGAGGAGGCCCTGCAGCACCCCTACTTCTCTGACTTCTGCCCCCCCTAGGCTCCTGGACCCTGACCGCCAGGCTGGGGCCTGACCTACTTCGGCCCCCTCCCAGGAGGGGAAGAAAAACAGGGATGCACAGTGTGCTGAGCTCTAGCTGTGCCGGGCCCGCCAGGGTAGAGGCACCTTTGTGCGGGTTCTCCCTCCCTCCACGGACTTTATTTAATTTCATAAATTGGCTCCTTTCCCACAGTCTGGCTGATGTGGTGGTAGAGTGGCTCTGAGAGGGGGTGGGTTTGGGTGGCGTTCTCTGCTCCGCTTCACCACCCTCTGCTACGCTGTTTCCAGCTGGGACACAACCCAGCTGTCCCGTCCTTGCTGTGCTGCTCTGAGTGGCCTAAGGCTGGGGGCTGGAGACTGTGACCCTCACCCCTTATGGCTGGGCTCAGGGGCATTGCTGTGCCCACACGTGTGCTTATGCACTCGTGTGTACCCCTTTCCCGCTCTACCCAGGATGGCCCGAGACAGTCCTGAGGGTTTAGGCAGTCGGCATCTGAGAGCAAGGATGGGCTTCCATAGGACGAGAAGAGGGCCAGGCCTTTCCTTGTTCTCCGTATCTCCCCCCCACCCCCGGTCCCTTTCCTCCTCATTCTCTCCCCCCATACCCAGGCCTGCCGAGGGGCTGGGACAGGAGAGACCCAGAGACGCGGTTAGATCAGGAACACCGCCTCCCTGCTCCCTTATTTGTCAGTTTTCCAGTCCTGGGTACAGGGAACCAGCAGGGCAGGCGGCCATGGCCGGGGCCTGGGTGTGTCCTCACTGGCAGGAGCGGGAAGGGAGGGCCGCCCTCACATCTCAACCTGGGGCCGCTGTTGTGGGGAGGTTGGGGAAATGAGACCTGTTGCCATGGAGACGGGGCGTGCTGGAGCTTGGTCCCAAATGTGAGAAAAAGTCATGATCTAAGAAAGGCAGGACGACGGCTTGTGTTCTGGGAAGTGGGGAGTCCCTCTGTCTTCTCGCTGCTTGCTCCCTCACTTCTTGCCAGGCTCTGGGTCAGAGCCTGTTACCAGCCATTCCCTATAGTCCCCAAACGGGACTGTCCTGTCACTGACTCCTCTCCACACGGACACCTGACCTTGGTTGGGTTCCCTTCTTTCTGGTGTGTCCGTCTGATAAACTCATTCCCACTGAGGTGCGAATGACTTGGCATCCTTGTACTGTTCTCTCCCAGAGAGGTTTCCGGAGGTTCACTCGGATCCCTCCCACATTCCAGGCACCATGTCCTCCAGATGATGGCTGGCAGAGGTCTTCTTGTGCCTGAGTAGTGCTAACCTTGGCCTGACTAGTCTGCCTGTAAGAGGGACAGCCGAGACTGATGCACTAGAACTTTATTGGGGTGAAGATGGCAAAGTTACGCGCAGGTTGGGCATGTCCAGGATGTCAAGGTGTGGCCCTGAAGACACAGACATCGGGCCTAGAGCTGTGTGACGAGGTAGCAGGTGCGGTGGGAGGCAGACAGAGTCCTGGTGACGGCACAGGGAGGGGTGGGAGGCCTGCTGAGACACAGGTCACAGTCCTGGGACAGGGGGCCTCGCACCCACTGCCCGGCCCCTGCCCTCCTGGACCTGCACTTGGCCCTCTGGACTGTACCTGCCCCTCCTCCCTTGACCTCAGGGAACCTTTTTTTGTTACCTGGGGCCCAAGCTGAGGTGGGGCACTTGGTTTCCATGGCTGCCCAGCCCTTCCTGAAGCTGTGGGAGGAGGGACAGGGTCAGAGGAGGGGCGGGGTCCTCCCAGAAACCAGCCAAGGTCACTGCTCACCCCTCCCTGCCGCTCTGTTTTTCCCCAGCTAGGTAGGGATGGTGTTCTAGGCTTAGGGGTTAGGGTCGGGGGTGGGGCATCCAGACGGACATGGCAGGGGAGGAAGAGGGGGCTGTTACCAGATTGCTGCTGGAATGCTTTTGGGAGCGCTTTCGGTTCCAGAAGTATCTCAGGACCCTGTCTCGGAATACCTGGGGGCAAGCAGTGCGGCAGTTGGCCCCCTTACACCTTGCCCCTGGGTCCTATGGCTTGTTGCCCCCTCCCCCAGCTGAGGCCCCGGGCCCACCTCGCAGAGGTAGTCCAGGATCTCAAGGATGGTGAGCAGGCTGGCCCCGATGAACAGTCCCATCTGGCCCCCAATGTCGCCTGTGGACACCCAGTCACCCGTCAGTCAGCTCACAGCTGCCTGCTGTGCCCACCCCTCCCTACACCCCCGAGGCACACACACACCAAGCAGCTCTGACACCTCATAGGCCTTCTTCTGCTCCACGGTCTCGTAGTTGAGGGCCTCAAAGAAGATGTCCAGCACCAGCACGTTCTCCCTGGAGGAAAAGAGAGGTGGGAATGTTCACTGGACAGCCCCTGGTGCCAGCTACTGGCGGGAAACAGGTGATCCTTCTTTAGGCTCTGACTCCTTGCAAGAGCCCTGGGAGGGGCATCACCAACCCCTGTTTGCAGAAGACACAGCGTCAGAAAGGTTAGGCAGCTTGTCCAGAGTCCTAGAGCCCTGTGATGGCGTGCAGACTGGTGTCGCACCCAGGTGTGAGAAGGAAGACTCGGCCAGGAGAAGGGTTCCCGCCCCTCCCCTGCCCGTGTCCCGCCAGCTCACACGATGTAGGCCTCGCTGCGGTTGTATTTCCGGGCCAGGTAGCGGGTAGCAGCGCGGCTCGGCATCCGCACCATGGAGAGCTCCTTGGCGTAGCGCGTGCTGGCGCACGGGTTGCGGCAGGTGCACGCGTCCTTCCGCAGCATGGCATCTGCGGGCCACAGTTGCCCAGGTCAGGGCTGTCGCTGCGGGGTGGGGATAACAGGCCGAACGGGGTAGAAACGATAGGCGGGGAGGCTTGCCCCTTACCCAGCGCGGGGTTGGCGCAGTCCTTATACTGCTGGGGGCTGCACACGGGAGCGCCACCTGGTGGGGGGGACAGCTTCAGGGAGGCCTCCCAGGCCCTGGGCCCCTCCACATCCGACCCCTCTTTGGCTTCCCAGCCCCTTACCCGGCATGTGCATCATTCGGCAGCCACATTTCCGAGCCACGTAGCGGGTCTCACAGATCAGGCGACAGCCCACTAGACTATAGGGAGGCCTGGGGCCTGGAGTGGGGCTGGGGGAGTCCAGGGAGTCAGAGGGTTCCGGCTCAAAGTCAGGGTCCAGAGATGCGGAGCTGCAGTCGCCCCAGGGCGGTGGCAGGAAGCTTAGCTGTAGAGGGGCTGGTTAAGGACGCTTCCAGGGAAGTGGGGCACCCAGGGACAGTGAACAGCTGCTGGGAGATAGAGGCCTCTGACCCTTCGGAAGAGCCGAGGGGTTGGAGTTAAGGTGGTGTGGTCTGAAGGAGGGGGTTTGTAGGTCCAGGGGAGGATACTTGCTGCTGCTGGCAGGACACAAAAGTCTGGTAGCCAGGGGGTGCCCCAAAGCCCAGCTGGTCAATGATGGGCGGCTCCTCCTGGCTGTGGATCTGCACTCGGATTCCCACCTCAAACAGTGTCTCCTCTGTGGGGGAAGGGGGACCTAGGCCTGCATCCCGGGAGCTCTCCTGCTGCAGCCCCTTCTCCCCCAGGATGGTGATGGACCAACCCTGCCCACCCCCTTCTCACAAGGAAAGACTGCTTCAGGTCCCACCCGGCACCTGCTCCTCTCCTCCCCAGAGCCTTCCATGCCCCCTGGGTGCCCCACTCCAGCCACCACACGTGCGCTCCCATACCCACGTCCTTCCACACGGGCAGGTACTCATCCTCCTGCACATCCAGCATGACCTCCAGCCCGTTGCCCGCGCCGCCCTTGGGGGTGGTAAGAAGCTCTGCCCCGTTGGCACCAGAGTTGAAGGTGTAGCACTGCCCCATGCGGGTGAAGATCTGGGGGTGGGCAGGCAGGGGCAGACTTCACCGGGGAATAGGAAGCCCAACCAGGCCGACAGTGCCCTGGAGCCTCTGCCCTCCCATCCTCTACTGGGGTCTCTCCTTGGAACACTGAGGCCCACATCTCAGTGCCCCCGGCCCTGTCCTCAGCAGGCACATGTGGTTGGACTCTCATGGCTCCCATCACCCCAACTCTTCCTTCCTCTCCACCCCCAGCCCAGGGCTCAGCAACGGGTTCTTTGGAGACTGGGGTAAAAGGCAGTGGATCCCAGTTGCCCGCCTCCAGGACTGGCAGAATGTTGAAGAGGAAGAGAGAAAAGCAGCCCCTACCTTGGCAGAGAGAGTGGTCTTCTGCCCTAGAACAGTCCTACTAGCATCGACCCACCCCCAGGAGCAGGGTCTCCACAGACCAGACCCAGGGCCTGGAGCCCATCTGGGTGAGTGCCCCATGCTGGTAGGTGTGACCTTGCACACTGCAGTCCAGCTGAGCGACAGAGAGAACCCCATGGAGGACAGCTTCCGGGGCTGAACAGAAGGGCACTGGTGGGGTGAGGGCCTGGGGCCTGGCTGGGGAGGAAAGGGTCCCCGGGTACATGTATGAAGTTTCCCTGGCTTTGGGGGAGCCTGGGCTGACAAGGCTGGGGATGGTGGGTCCTGGCCAGGGACTGGCTGGCACTCCTGGGTCCCAGGCAGGGCAGGGCAGGCGGCCAGCTCACCGCAGTGAAGTTCTCCGGCCCGCATGGCTGGCCACGGTAGCGGCAGTCCAGCAGCATGTCCTTCAGGCTGTGCCCCGCCCGGGCGTAGAGTCGGGCCATGTCGAAGGTGGGACTGGGCATGAAGCCGGGTGGCGTGGGTGGCTGGCCCAGGGCACGCAGGAAGGCGGCGTGCTCAGCGGGCTCCAGGCCCAGCAGCGCCTGCCCGGCCCAGTGCAGGTCGTTGGGTGTGAGGCGCGAGCGGCGCAGCGGGTTGATGTTGCAGAGGGTGATGGCTGGGAAGGTGAGCTGGTGGCTCTCGCGCTCGTCCAGGGCCGTCTCGTGGTGGAACTCCCCATAGTAGCGCACCCTCTCTGCCACCTGGTAGAGGAAGGCTGCCAGCGACAGGAGCACGGCCACAGCCCACAGCGCCCGGCGCGGGGTCAGGCTCCCCGGGCCGAAGACATGGCCCAGCCCATGCAGTGTGCAGCTGCTGGCGAACACGCGGATGTCCGAGGCGGGCTGCCGGGCCTCCTCTGGCCCTGAGGGGGTCTTCATGGTTGAAGCCGAGGTGGGGGTACTAAGAGGGTTGGGGGTGGTGACGAGGTGGCAGGGGCTTAGAAAGAAGAGAGGGTCAGTCCCAGGGGCTGGCCAGGCGGGGCGGTCACTGCAGGTGCCAGGAGAGGTGGAGGAGAGGAGCCAAGCCCGAGAGGGAGGTGGGGAAGCACTGGCCTGGCTGTCTGGGATTCGGTGGCCTGGAGGGTCTGGCTGGCCTGGACCGGGAGCAGGCTCTGGCTCCTCGGGCCGGTGCTGGGCTGGGGTCTCCGTAGCAGAGAGCAGGTAGGGTGCGGCAGGCCTGACAAGCAGGGCGGTCTGCTGTTCTGCTGAGCCAAGCTGCCGCAGAGGATTGGGTTTCAGCAGTGAGGGGGTAAGGGGGCTGGCAGAGCAGCCTGGGGGGGCGGGGGAGGTCCCTGGGGCTCCAGGCTGAGCCATTAGTGCAGCATGGGGGGGCCGTGGCTGTGGAGACCAGAGGCGCCAGCAGGAAACCACAGCAGCAACCCTGGTAGGGCTGAAGGGGAGCCTGGAGATAACTGGGGCCGGGGTACCCTCGGGGCCTCTAGGTTCCCAGCTGCAGCCCCTGTATACAGCACTGAGAGTCAGTCACGGGCCCTTGGCCCGGCCCCTCCCTCCTCTGGCCTCCTCCCTTCCTGCTAACTTCATCGGGGTTGTTGCTCTTTCACGAAGAGTGGAGTTGGCCCCTGACCAGGCTGGAAGGTGGTGGGAGTTTGGCATTGGCCATCTCCTGCTGAGCCCGTGTCCCAGCCTACGCCAATGGCCAGGGCCTCTGCAGGTCCCAGGTCCCAGGGGGTCTATCTTTTGAGTGACCCTTTCCCAGTCCCCACCCCACAACCAGGACCTTTTGTCTGAGAGGTTGGCTTCTACCACAATGATTGTGGGCTCACTTGCCACCCTTCCAGGTAACATGGGTACCCACCTGCCACCCCCAGGTATAACATAGGTGCCCACCTGGTACACCAGGTAAAAACTTGGGGCCCCTGTGCCACTCCTCCAGGTAGCATGATTCAGCTCCTAGGTGTAACGTGGAAGCCCTATCATTCCACATCTTTTTTCACTTAACATATCCTGGGGACCATGTGACACCCAGTACCTGGAAAGCGTCCCCATTTTTCAATGGCTGCATACCATTCCATTATGTGGATGCACTCTCAGTAATGTCGCCATGCCCCTGTGATGAACCCCGGGGGTTTCCAGTGTCCCATTACAAACAGTGTTCTCAGCGACATTGCACAACTCTAATTGCCAGAAACAGGACTGCTGGGTCAAGAGGCAACTGGGTCGTTTGATAGAGGCCACGAAATTCCCAGCCGTAGGAGTTACACCATGTTACACTCCCGGCAGGAACACGGGAGTGTGCCTATTTTGTGCGGGGCTTTTCTAAAGGAAGACAATGTACCCCTACACCAGATGGGGGGCGCTGGGCCAGTGCCTGGACAACACTGGCCTTGAGAGGACCAAGTTGGCACATCTGAAGATGCTTTAGAGGCTCCAGGACGATGGGGCTGTGGGGAGTCTCCCAGCGGCTGGAGCAGACACCTCCGCAGAGTAAGATGAGTGCCAGCCAGCCTGAGTGGGAGGTGGGTGTTCTGGGGACCCAAGGTACAGGGGACAAGTAACAGCAGCCAGAGGGCTGGGCAGCGGAGGGCCACAGGAGCCAGCTCAGACAGGTCTCGGAGAGGACGATGCCAGGGCCTGGTCCTCATGTCCAGCTCGCGTTTGGTTAATGCTCACCTACCCCCAAGACTGTGTGTCAGGCACAGGGAGAAAGACGCCACACTGTGGGCCGGAGGGAAAGCAGGTTCATGTCCATTAATTCACTTACTGAAATATTTCTACTCTGTCTCCCTCCATGAAGTACTTGAGGCCGCCAGGTTCAGGTTGGTGGGTTCTTGGCCATGAGTAGCAGAAACAACAAAGCTCGCCAACCAAACACGATCACAGTGCAACCACCTGCCCACCTGTCGGTCCTCGCAAGACTGCAGGCATCATGGGGCAGGGACTGTCCTCATCCCCATCTCAGGCACGGTGACACAACAGGTGCTTAATGAACACGTTTTGGACAGAATGGGTGGATGACATGGTTTATTGCACAGATGTGACCACCTCCTGAGGCTGCAGCATTGTGAATTTTAAGTACTTGACCACAGATTATTCCATTTAAACCCTTAAAACAAGTTTTCAAGATTAAGCACAGCCAGGCTTACAATCCACAGTGAACAGCTGCGGGAGCCAAGGTCGAGGTTAAGGCTACACAGGGCCAATGGCACTGCCTTCCAGCTGAAGGCTAGCATGGATCTCACTACTTCCTTAGTTGAGCTGGGCGGGAGGCAGGATTCAGAGGCCACCCTGAGGGGGTAAGGAGAGACCTAGAATCTGGTGTCAGAGGCCGGAGGAGCAGGAACTGGCTCTCCCAAGGGAGGGGCTGGGCAGGCCCGCGTGGACTTGGCCAGGGCGCTGAGGCCTGCCCTTGGCTGCGCTAGGAGGTGTTTAGTGGCAAAGCAACCCAGAGCCTACCCCATGCTCTGCCTCCTGGGCTGAGGCTGCCCTGGGGTATGACCTCTGATCAGTCAGGAAGTGGGGCAGCAAAACAGGGCGGCTATGGCCCTGGAGTATTTTGGGTGGTTTGTCCCCAAAGTGGCATCTGGTCCTAAACCACACCCAGAAGAGGCTGCGGGGTCTCACACGCAGATCCTGCACTCACACCTGCGCCACTGCTACCTCTTCCAGGCTGGCCTCCAGCTGCAGCCAACTCTGCTCGCCCTGCAGCTGCAGTTGCTGCCACCCCTCGAAACATGGCCTCACCCTTCGTGTCACATGATAAATCCAAAATGCTTGGCTGGCCTTGAAGGTCTGACACAGGGCACAGGCAATTCCTCTGCCCACCCTAGGGCGCAGGGTTCAGTGGGGCCCTCAGCCTGCACATGGCTGTGAACGGGAAAGGCTGCCTGGTGGGAGGTGACGTTGACGTGAGCAGCACCAAGACAAGAGGGATGACCGTCTCTGGAAGTCCACAGGGGCTGGTGGGAGACCCCGGCTACTCAAAGGTCCTCAGAAGCTGACGGAACCCAGTCCCACCTCACTCACAGGGCCACAGGCTCACGCCATGCGGGCGGCTGGCCAGTCCTTTTTCAGGGCGAGGCTCTGGTCCCAACCTCCGTGGTCTGGCAGTGATGCTCCTCCTCGGACTGGTTTTCCATTTTGTCAGCCCAAGGGGCTTAGTAGTATCCCTTCCTGAACGGCTTGGTGGCTGTTGGCACTACGTGCCCCGTGGCTGGAGTTTGGGGTGTGTCCCAAACGCCTTCTCTGTCCCCTTCAAAGCTGGTGTCGTCACAAAGAAGGGGGCTGTCCACAATCTGGCCAGGTGGCAGACGGGGCGGGGGAGGTGGGGCAGTGGTGAGACAGCCAGGCTGGACCGGAGAGCACGTGCCTTCCTTCTGCCTCCCGAGGGCCGAGGGCCGGGGCCTACTAGGCATCTGTCCCATTGGGATCGGGGGAGGGAGAACTCTAGAAATAAGGACCGTGTGAGGGAAGAGAAATTGTTCGCAGGACGGGGACTACAGGTTTGAGGGGTTGGCCCAAGAGGTGAGCTCCTTCTCCCAGGGCCCAGAGTGACGGTGGGGACGGAGGGGTGTCAGAAGCCAGCCTAGGAACGTGAGGTGCTGGCATGGGTGTGGGGAAGAGCCCCAGCGTGCATTTTCTACCACTCCCTGACCCTGGCTTATAGTCTCCGGAGCTGGGGCCTGGACGCCGTTAGGCGGTCAGGTAGAGGGGAGACTCAGCAGTTTCCAAGAGGGGTCGGGGAGGGTCTGGGCAAAGGGAGGAACAGAGCAGGGCCTGGGGACTGTGCCTCCTCCTGTGTGCAGCCCAGTGACTCACTGGCTCTGGCAGGAGGGTGGCAGCCTGGCGGCGGGAGGGGGAGTGGATGGGAACAGTCCTAACCTCCTCCCAGCCCAGCGCTTGGCCGGGTCTCACTGTGAGGAGGGCGGCCACAACCAGCATGCCGGCCCTTCTGGGGGCTCAGTTCCTGGCCCCGGGCACTGATGCTTGGCAGTGACCAGACTGCAGGGGGCTGCTCTCAGGAATTGGGGTGGCGGTTCCTGGGGCCTCTGGGCGCCTCAGGAGGTGGGGAATCCAGGGCCTGTCTCCGGATGAGCTCGGCATAGAGCCCGCCTTTCCTCAGCAGCTCTTCATGGGTCCCCGCCTGGAGAGGAAGGAGGGGCAGATGGTCACCCAGCCCAGAGCTCAGGGTCCCAGGAGGGCTGGCTTTGTATCAGCCATCGGGCTCACCTAAGCCAGTGTCCCTCCGAGGACACTAGGAAACCAAAGCACAACTGGTTACAGATGCCACTGGCACAACTGTATTGGTAAGCGCCACCTCCCTGTTTAGGGGGATGTCGGAAGAGCAGCTGAGTCCCTTTCAGAGCCCAAATTCCAGCTCCAGGCCCAGCGTCCCTCATGAACCCTTTCAGCTTTCACTTGAATATGTGGCTGGGGGGCTGGGAGCCCGGCCCCACACAGACTCCAAGCCCTGCGGTGGACCCAGGCTCTGGGAGCTGCCTCTTTCGCACCTCAGCCCTGGTCACCACACACTTCCCTGTGATCCTGGGACAGAGGTGGGCACTGGGGCTCTGAGGCCAGGGCTTATCTAGGGAAGGAACTCCTGAATCCTGGGGTGCTGCCTCCAGAAGACGGCCCGAAGCCTGCAGGGCCAGGCCGGAGCCTTGCACAGCTCAGCTGAGCCACCGCTCTGCTGTGTCCATAGCTCAAACTGTCCCCATACACCGACCCGCTCCCTGGGCCCCGCTGACCTCACAGACTTGGCCGTGGGCCATGACGACGATGTGGTGGGCCCCACGCACGGTGCTGAGCCGGTGGGCGATGACCAGCACCGTGCGGCCCGTGCTGGCGCGGTCCAGGGCTTCCTGCACCACCCGCTCAGACTCCGAGTCCAGCGCACTGGTCGCCTCGTCCAGGATCAGCACCGTGGGCTGCTTGATGAGGGCGCGGGCGATGGCCAGGCGCTGCTTCTGGCCACCAGACAGGGTTGCACCCCGCTCACCTGTGGAGGAAGCGACCCTCAGCTCTGCACTTGGGGATGGCCCCCCAAAGGGGCCCCAGGGACTTTCCTTCTGGCTCCTTGGGGTCCTCCCCTGCCCTGTGCATGTTCGTCCTGCCTCTGTGAGGGCAAGGATGACACCTGTCGGCATCTGATCCCACATCCCTGTGTAAATGCACACACACTCATGCAAGGTGACATGAGTCGTGCCCGTGGTAAGGCTCAGGGCACCCTGCGAAGCCACCAGGTGCCTCTTATGTACCAGGGCAGGGTCCCAGAGGCAGGATGGAACCTGCAGCTCTAGCTGCCTTCCCAGGCCTCCTGGGTCTCTGCTGCTGTGGGGACATCCAAGACCCAAATGTGGGCTCCTGCAGTGTGGTAACAGCACAGTGGGATTTGAAGCCCACCACTAGGGCATTCTGGGAAGACCACATCTGGGGAGAGCTTGCAGAGGCCATGGCCTGGGAGCCAAAAAGGGCCTCGAGGTAACCGTAGTCACAGAGCAGTGAGGGACAGACTGAAGCCCCCGAGTGTGCTAGGTCAGAGGTAGAGGAAAGTGCCACCAAGAGAGGTGTGGGCACGGCCCCTCCGGTCAGGGGAGTGTGGAGTCTGAGCAGGGAGTAAACCAGCTGGGTCAGTAACGCAGGACCTGGAGGATCGCCACAGACAGAGGACAACCCTCAGGAGGTGGGAGCTCGGCTAGACTGGGGCCCAGGTTTCAAGAAGAGTTGAGACCCGTGACACGCCTGCACCTTGAGATACGTGGGAGCACTCCGCAACAGAGCCTGGAGACTCTGGTTGACAAACACGGCCCCAGGAGTTGGAGAGAAGACCTCTGAGATGAACAAGGCTGCGAGCTGCCACACAGACGCGCCACAGGGCGATGTGACTGTATGCCAATCCAGTGGTGCTTCCAGGACCACCAGAGCCCTGTCCTGGCTAAGTCAGAAGACAGACCTCACCAAGTCAGCCCCACGGATAACATGGGAACACCTTCAAGCTAAAGAACAGGGCAGGAAGGATACAGGAGCCAGAGGATGCATGATTATGAGGAAATAACACCCTCTGCTTCTGGTTGGGTCTTGGGACGCAGAGTACCCCAACACCACGGATCATGGTGTCACTGGCTGGTCCTGTGCAGCCACACACCGCATCTGAGAAATGTGTCATTAGGCAATTTTGATGTGTGAACATCACAGAGGCGCTTACACATACCTAGGTGGTACTGCCTACCACCATCCTACGAGCAGCCTGCCACTGGCCAACACGTTATGCGGTGCATGACGTGTTCCCGTCTCTGAAGCCCGCGCGTACCTGCACTCCCTGTCCCCGGAGAACCATCTCTGTCCGCCTCAGCCACAGTTCTGATGCAGTGCCTGTGCCCGTCCCCTCAGTCCCTCCTCATGCCGTGGGCCCTGCAGACCCAAGCGAGACGCTTTCCCAGGCACTCACCGACTACGGTGCTGTAGCCCTCCGGGAAGCTGGTGATGAACTCGTGTGCGTTGGCCTCCCGGGCAGCCGTGTAAACCTCTTCATCGGAGGCACCCAGCTTCCCAAAGCGGATGTTTTCCATGATTGTGGTTCCGAACAGGACTGGCTCCTAGGGTGGGGGGGAATTCACAGGGAATGTTCTGACTTTGCCCCGAACCTGAGGGGCGTGTCAGGAAAGGCTATTCTGTCCGGACCAGGACCCCTTGGAGGGCAGGTAGGGGCAGTTCAAAGTTAAAGGTCAAATGAGAACAGAGGTCCATCAAGCGGGGAGGCCAAGCTCCTGCAGGGCACGGAGCCTCAGGAGTGGGAACAGGAAGCTGGCAGTGGGAGCAAGGCCAGCCGGCCCGGCAGAGCCCCCTCCCCTCTGGAGAGATGGGGAGCGCGGGGGGTTGCACGGTGGCTTTCTTTTGCCGTGGCAGCAGCCCTCGTGGATTAGAAAGATGCTCTCGTTACTGCACACACAGTAGGAAAGTGGACTCTGTCTGGGCGGCACCCCCTGAAGCAGAGGGAAGTGGTGGGGCCTTGCTTAGCGGGTAGGCAGGCCACCAGCAGTCCCCAGCAACACCGCGTGGGCATCTCTAGGCCCCCGGACACCATGGGCTTGTCAGAGAACCCAGGAACCCTAGAAGAGCCACCCCAGCCCCAGCTGCTTGGCTGTTTCATCGAGGAACGGTTCCTGCCCTAATGAGACGAGAGCAGAGCTCGGATGGCCCGGGACACGGAAGACTCAGACCCCGCGGAGCACTGGAGAACAAGTGAACAAGGCCGGGGCCCCCCAGAGCAGGGGATGGCGAGCTGGGAAGGGGAAACGGCCTGGGCGCCACAGGGCTGAGCAGCAGGGCCGTGGGGAGGAAGGAGATGGACTGGGTGGACATTAAAGACACTTCCGGTGACCCCACGCAGCGAGGACAGCCTTGTCTCCACACCTGGCTGATGAACCCGACGACCTGGCCCCGGAGCCAGGAGGGGTCGATGGTGCGCAGGTCCCACCCGTCTAGCGTCACCATGCCTGCTGTGGGGTCGTAGAAGCGCTCGAGCAGGGAAGCCACGGTGGTCTTTCCTGCGGAATCGGATTGGAGAGATGGGGCAGTTAGGGGGTGCATGGGTTTCTGGAGACTGCCAGGAGAGAGGGACCCACGGTGGCAGTGGAAGGCTCTGCTCTGCGTGGCCACCACGGGAAGGAAAGGGTGTGGGTTCCTCTTACCTCCGCCGGACTGGCCCACGAGGGCCACGATCTTGCCAGGGGGTAACGTGAGGGTGAAGTCTCTGAGCACCTGGAAGCCGGGGCGGCTGGGGTAACTGGGGGACCAAGACACCCTCAGTCAGACCGGGTTCCCGGCCCCTTGTGGCCCGGTCCCTCCTAAAGCCATTGTACCCGAGGGGGCTTATTCAGAGGGAGACTTTGGCCCACAGGTCCCCAGCCAGCCTCCCCTCGCATCCTCAGCCTGGAGGGGAGCACCCCTGCGCCCACCCGCTGACACTAACCTGAAGCTGACGTTGTGAAACGTGATAGACCCACGCAGGTGCTCCCTGGGGATGCAGCTGCCCCCAGACAGTGGGATGCACGGGCTCAGTGTCATGTACTCGAAGACCCGGGCACCTGCGCTGAGCCCCCGCACCACCTGGGGAGGGGGTTTGTCTGTGGTGAGGAGTGGGGTCCGAGGGGATGGATGGGAGTGACAGCAGCATCCCCTGGACCCCCACACAGCTGGCAGGTATGGTATCCCCTCCGCCCAATGCCCAGTCCCCGCAGCACTCAAGTGATGTCGGTGGCTGATGGCACTGCAACCCAGATCTGGTGTCCACACCCCGGGACCCACCCCCGATTCTACCACTCACCTGACCAAACAAGATAGAGAGGTTGGCCATGGACCTGTGAGGAGAAGAGCAGGGTTGAGAGAGTGGGGACAAGAAGTGCCTGAGGGAAAGCCAGCACCAGAGGGGCGGTTCTGGGTCTCAGCTGCATGGGGGACATACGGGTGAGGCAAGGAAACGGGTGGCCTGCAGCCAAATGCAGGGTGCTCCCGGAATCTGGGGCCGTAGGAGCCCTGGGACCAGGCAGGTCACCAGGCAAGTTACTTTCCCTTTTGCAGCCGTGTCCTCTCCTGGGCCAGATGAGGCAGACAGCTGTCCAGAACCTCAGGACTGGGGGCCCCAGGGCTCAGTGGGGCTGGACTCCATCCGGCCTGCAGCCTGCAGGGCTGAGGCCGGCTCCCGAATGCCGTAAACAGCGGTCAGGGTTATGAGGCCCACAAGGGCCGGGAAGATCTAGCGCCGTGGACTCCTTGGGGAAGCAAGGACTCATTAAAGTGGAAAAACGGGTATTCATCCTTTCAGAGGAAAAGAAAACAGAAGACACTGGACCACAGGGTGATCTCTGGGGGGACCTCAAAACAAACTCCCTGGAGACATTTTTTGTGGGCTTGCCCTGTGTGGCTCCGTCTAGACAGCGGATCGCAGCCCCTGTCATGCGGGCCTGTCGGCTGCCGGGAGGAAGGTGAATCACTGCTTCTTAGTCACCACTCCCTGACTGGCCTGGGCGGCCCGTGACAGTGTGTGCGTCTGTGATTGTGTGCGCAGGTCCTTCCTGAAGAGGAAAGACTGACTCCTCAGCAATCTCACTTCTTCCAGCCCCAGGGTGGGTGTGGGGGGGAGGGCGGGAGGAGCGTGCAAGGAAATGGCTCTGGCTGGCTCAGAGCCATCGGGACTTGCCAAAGGGAGTGGGGAGGCATGGAGCAAGGAAGAGCCAGGATAGCGCGTTATCTGTGGATGAGACGGAAGAACATTCTCAAGAGATCTGGAAGCCATTAGTGCCTGGCAGAGGTGCCGGGCAGCAACCAAAAACCAGAAGCACATGACTCGCTGGTGTGCGATGACCTTGCTCTCAGAGATGGCTCAGAAAGAAGGCCTCAACTCTCCCTGGAGGCTGGGCGGGGAGGGCCCCTATTCCCAGTGGGGCCCAGACTTGGACGCAGCCCAGGTGGCCTGGCCCTGATTATCGTCTGTCTACGCACCTTTCCAACTCCTCCGGTGCTCCAATGCCACAGAGAGCACCGGGATGGGGTCCAAAGGCTGAGGCTGCTTGAAGGCAGGGCCAGCACGGCCTCCCTCCCCGCCCCTCTCCCGCTCCCCTGTTGCACCCCAGGAGGAAACACATCAGCTTCTGTAATAAAACAAGACCCAATTCCTCCAAGGTGGGTGGTGAAGAATCCCCCCGAGGCGAGGGGCCCCCAGATGGATGGGCCCCAGGCCTGGGCTGTGGGAGCAGCCCCGCCTAGCAGCCTGCAAGACAGTGCAGGTGTCGAAGTCCCCAGGCTTCCTCGTGTCTGTCATGAACTCTACTAACTGGCTAGGCAGAGCAGTGAGGAGGAGGAGAGAGGGTTTATACTCAGGCCATAAAGGGGACGGGGGCCCAAGGGAAGGCGAGTCTAAGGAAGGAGGGCCGGGCCTGGGAGGCGCAGCTGCCACCCCACAAGGAGACTCTCCTGCTACTGCCCTACAGAAGGTCGAGGGTGACTGCATGAAGGCAGCCAGTGGGGCTGTAAGTCTTCAGGAGAAAAGGGGGGCCGAAGGTCGGCCTGGGGGAGGGGCCGCCAGGGGCGGCCTCATGTGCCCGTCTCTACACCAGTCAGAGCTTCTTCGTTCCAAGGCCAGCAGGGAGTGGTTCCCGGGCCACCCAGGGCCAGAGGAGGGCTGATCAGTCCCGATCAGAGTGCTGGGCAGAAATGGGGCCGAGGTGTGTGTGTGTGGGGGGGGGTCTTTCCCACCTGCTCGTCTCCGGGTTAGCTCCATTCTACCCGGGACAATAATAAGGCTGATGGTGAGGGATTCTGTAAGAAACAGGTGGTAAGACACAACGCTGAGCCAAGCCACAAGCGCCATCAGAATCGGGGCACAGGGCAGGCATCTAGGGTGAACTTCTATTGCTTGACGTGGTTGGTGCTAGTGCAGGTCCACTCCTCAGTGACTTATTAAGCATATTCACTTCAGTTATTCATCATAACGTGTATTTATGCTTCATGTATTTTTATCTATGCGGTATGTGTGTGGTGGGGGAGACAAAGTGAAGAGAAGCGGCAGACGGAGCTGCTAGCGTTTAGCGGGGGAGAGACAGGGAAGGGGAGGCCTTGGGTGGTCTTGTGGCAAAGTCAGCCGAGAGCTCAGGGCTGCCAGGCAGGCGGGTTTCAGAGCAATTAGCACGACGAGCCACCAGGGTGGCTGTGCAGGGGAGACAGCCAGGCAGAGGATGGGAAGGTATCAAAAGCGTGTCAAGATGGCCTATCCATATATGGAACCTAGTTCAGCCCTAAAAAGGAAGGAAACCCTGACACACACTACAACACGGATGAACCTGGAAAATGTTATGCTCAGTGAAGTAAGCCAGACACAAAGGACAAATACTGTACGACCCCACTTTTAGGAGGTACCCAGCGTAGCCAAATTCACAGAGACAGAAAGCAGAATGGCGGCTGCCAGGGGCTGGGGGAGGGCGTCATGGGGGTTAGCGCTGAATGGGGGCCGAGTTTCAGTTTTGCAAGACGAAAAGTTCTGAAGATGGACGGTGGTGATGGTTGCACAACAATGTGAGTGTACATACGACTGAACTGTACACTTAAAAAGGGTTACGATGGTACATTTTTATGCTATGTGTATTTTACTATCATTAAAAAAATATTGTAAAAGCTTGTCAGGGCCAACTTCTGAGGTGTCTGCAAGGCTGCAGGTGACAAGTGCATTTCTGAGAGCAGTCAGTGAATCAGACTGAAGGGGCTGCTGCGAGCCCTGAGGGGCTCTCATGGAGGGCATGGGCACCCTCTCCCCTGCCCTGTGCTTCACTGGGGGAGCTGGGCCGGCCCGAGGCTGACAGCAGTCCCCAGAGCAGGCTGGCACCCCAGCTTTTGACCCAGCAGGACTCCTGAGGAATGGAGGTGGCCCCACACTCACCTCTGCACTGTCTGCGAAGCCACCAGGAAGGACATGAGGTCTCCTCCCTTCAGCTGCTGCCCAGCCACAAGGGAACCCCCAATAAACAGGGTGCCCAAGACCATGCCTGCACGGTGAGAGGGGCAGGCAGTTAGGGAGGCAGCAGCTGGAAACGGCAGACAGAGCCTGGCCCAGGGCTGCGTCCCCAGTTCCAGTCCCTGCGTGCTTCCAACGGACTGGCATCTCGGTGAGTCAACTGAATGGCCTCCGCCTTTGTTTCCTCATCCGGAAACAAGTGGCAGGGGGAGCGGCACCTCCATGGCTTCCTCCTGGACAGGCTGGCAGCACACTACACACCGCTTGGCTGTGCATTAGCCTGCCTGCCCAATGCCAGCCCGCGACCAGGCTCGGGCACCCGGTACTCGATAGCCATCGGAAGGACATCGAGCGGGCGAGAGCTGCCCTCACCTGCCTTGCTGGGACCTGTCCTGTGCTCCTCCGAGCTCCTCCTCAGCCATGACCCGGGCCCCCCAGGCGAGGCTTTGCTCACTCACAGTTGAAGGCTATGTTGGAAAGCCCCTGGAACAAGGCGATGCCTCTGCCCAGCTCCTCTGCCTTACAGCGAGACCCCTCCAGCTCTGCTCCATAGCGTCTGGGGACAGAGGCCAAACCCCACTCTCAGGAGCAGCTGGGTCGGGGTGCAGGGCAGGTGGGCGTGCGTTTGGGAAGCCCGCCCCGCCCCCCGCCCCGCACTTGAGGCTCTGCCCTTGCCCGGGACTCACTCCTCTTCCCGCTGCTCCATGGCGAAGGCTCGAACCGTCCGAACGTTGCCCAGGGCCTCATCCGCTACCCCCGTCGCCCTGGCAACCTGCAAGGTATCCAGGAGATAGGGAGCCAGGCTGGAGATGCGGAGTGACAGGGCAGAGAGAAGGGGGGACGGCAAGGAGGAGGGCAGGGAGTCTCGTACCTGCTCCTGACACTGGCGAGACAATTTTCGGAGCGCCGAGCCCATCAGGGTGCCCACTCCCATCAGGGCGGGCGTGGCCACCATCAGCAGCAGCGTGAGGCGTGTGGACAGCATGGACAGGGACACCAGGCAGCCAACCACTTGGGTGCAGCTTCGCAGCCCCTGGGGAGAGGGAAGGAGGCAGAAAGGCTGTCTGGCATCAGCACCACAACATGCGGGATGTTACCAAGGGTCAGCTGGCTACAGCTCTACATGCACACGGCCGAGGCCACAGGACTGACCCCTGGGAGGCCAACTAGCAGTCCACTGGCCACAGACCATAACCCCCTTCCTGAGCAGCGAGCACGCAGGGGCTGGGTGAGAAGGTCCGTGCACGTGGCACCCTTCCCTCGACAGATCCCAGTTTGCTTCACTTTCTGCTCTAGAAACTAAACAAAAAGAGTCACATGGGGATGCTGTGGGCCAGTGTCTGCCATGATCCAGCAGCCATGGTGCTGTCACGGGCGGATGAGAAGAGGACATCAGCAATACAGTAAAAAGCCATCGCTCATTCTCAACGCTTGTCAGCATGCCAGGCCGGGGGCAAGGCAGGCCAGGGTGATTGTGCTCTTGGCAAGCTGGGCCAGGAAAAGCTCTCGTCTGAGTCCTTGGGAAGGTTTTCTGGGGAGGTAGGATTTCAGAACAGGAGAAACAGCCTGTCCTGACCTTGGACACTGCCATGGCGCCTCCCTTCCGTGAATTTCCCCATTTCCTCACCCACGTCCTCACCCAACAGCAGGCTTCTCGCTCTGCTCCATGGAAGTCTAGGTTTAGGGCCCAAAGGACGGGCAGGGCTGGCCTGGTGCGCCTGCACTGGGGGGCGTACAGGTGTGTGTGTGGGGAGGGGAGCCTGAGGCACTGACCTGAGAGATGACAAGTTTGAAGGATGATTTAAATTCCTGCACGTCACTTGTCAGTCGGCTCACCAGCTGCCCAGTCTTTTTAGCATCAAAGAAAGCAATGTCTTGCCTGGTGGTGGAACACGGGAGCAGCAGGCGGGGGAAAGAGGGAGATGTTGCTTCAGGATGAGGCCTCATCCCGACATCCTGGGACCCCCCAGGGCCCCTGGGTCACCCCTGCCCCCACCCTGCAGTTGGCAGTACCGGAGCAGGTTGCTGAAGAGGGCCCTGCGCATGTCCACGGCCATGCGCTCGCCGATGCGGGACAGCAACACCAGGTACCCAAAGGTCAGCAGTCCCTGGGAGAGAGGCGGGGACACTCAGGGGCGCCCGGGCGGCCCTTCTGTCTGCCCCCAGGCATCCCTGGCTGTGGTACCTGGAGGCCGTAGAGGAGGAGCAGTTTGGTGCCGAGATTCCGGGACTCGTTCAAGAAGCTGCCCACGTGCTCCCTTGTGTACTTGGCCACGATCTCTACCAGCTGGCCCAGGAGCAGGGGGATCTGCACGTTCACCAGTGCCGCACCCAGTGCCAGCTGGGGGGAGGGCGTAGACATTTGGGGGGGGGGGCATAGTCTTTCCACCCCCAGCCCTGACCTTGGCCCTTCCTCTCCTGCTGCTGTCTTCAGCTGCCCCTCTGCCTCTCTGGGAGTTAGAGCCCAAGCTGCCAGCACCTGGGGACCCCCGAAGCTCACACACCCAGCCGCCCTGTGCAGGTTCTCCTGGTATCCCTTGGCCCCGGCCTCCAAGCCAGCCCTTGCTGCTCCCTAAGGTCTCTTTCAGGGGTGACAAGGCAGTCAAGCTGTCCCTACGCAGCTCTGGCTGGGGCTTCTGCAAACCCCTGGCCTGGTCTTCCTTGTCCCTGGTTTTGGGGGTGCCGGGGGAGATCTCACCACAATGGCTGTCCCCAGGACCAGCAGGTGAGGGTGCAGGAACTGCCAGAAGAGCCTCCAGTTAAAGTGGGATTCCACGACACAGGGCTTGGAGCCGGCAGGGCGGGCCTCTTCTGCCTCACACAGTGCCACACGGTAGAGGCGGGGGCACTTACTCAGCACCACGGGGCCCAGGAGGGCTCCCCCAGCCCAGCNAGCTGTGATGGCCATCAGAGTGCCTGCAGGGAGAGAATTGCACCGATGGCTCCAGGCTCCGACTGTCCTTCAGCTGAACGACACACCAGCAGAGCCCCCAGCCCAGCGCCAGGCAGAGGGGCTTCTGCTGGGAGCTGGGGGCACTCGAGGGAGGCAGGCCCGGAGCTGGCACCGCAGCCGGGCCACGGCCTTGAGGAGGTAGGAGCTGTGATGGCCATCAGAGTGCCTGCAGGGAGAGAATTGCACCGATGGCTCCAGGCTCCGACTGTCCTTCAGCTGAACGACACACCAGCAGAGCTCTGGGCTGAGCCCGCTGGAGAGTAGCACCTTTTCTCCTGCCAGGTCCTACGCTACCTTTTTCAGGGCTGTTCTTAAGCAACCTTGGTTTCTGAGACAAACACACACAAGCAAAGTAGCTGAGGAATGAGATAAGCGCATGGAATGAAGGCTTAGAGGTGTTCTCTCCTGTGCTGTTGCTCAGTCAGGCCCTCTCAGCCTCCAGAGGCACCTCTGGGTCAGTGGCTGGCTCCAAACCTCGTTCTTTCAGATCACGGGATGTCAGAGCTGGAGGGCACTCTGCGTGGCAGCTAGTCCACGGCACTCCCTTACAGACAAGGACACAGAAGCCCTGAGTGCACACGGCTCGGAGAAGTCAGGGGGTGAGCCTCACCGGGTGGCCGTGGCCCTGCCTCTCCAATTTAACAGTCCACTGCATTTGATCCTCGTACCCCCTGGGAGGGAGATGCCATTAGTCTCACCTGATAGGTGGCAAATATCATGAGGGGCTGAGAGAGCTAATAATCTGTCCCCAAGCAGCAGGACTGGGAAAAGAGGGGAGCCCTGCTGCGTGATTCCAGAATCTAGGCTCGTTCTACTCTGCCCTGTAACCTGCCCAAGGCCACGTGTGGCAGGGCCAGGGCTGAACCGAGTCTTTTGACCACTGGTCAATGCTTACTGCACACCATCACCCTGGCTCCTCCCAGGCCTCGAGTGCTTATGTGACAATGTGTGGAGGTAAAGGGTGACATATTCCCTCTCCGTCAGCTGAAGGAAGAAAAAGAAATGAAAATCCAAATAACATATCTTGTCATCTTGGATAGGCCAAGATCACCTCCTCTTTCCTGCAGTTCCCGTATCTGTAGATGGCAATTTAGGGCCGTGTGCCTACTGTGGGCAGTGCTCTGCTCTCAGGCACGGGAAAGGAACAGGACAGACCAGGTAAACACCCTCCTGGTAGTCAGGCTTTGGTGGGGGCACAAAGAGCTCATTGCAAAGCTTGCGGAGAGTGGGGAGAGGGGAAGCACGGAGCACTGGGGAGCACCGAGCAGGTGCTCCTCTTCCTGTCTAAGGGAGTCAGGAAAGGCAGGGGTGGGGAGGAGCAGTGATCACAGTCCTTATAAAACAGCTGGACTTGGGAGGGCAATGACGACCACTGGGTTTTGAGGCTGGGGTGTTGACAGTCAGATTTGCACTTTAAAGATCACAGCAGAGGGGAGTGGCTGGAAGAGGACAAGATTGGCTACAGAGGCCTGTTAGAAGCAGAAGTTATCTGGCCAAGAGTACATGGCAGGATGCTCAAAGGTCCAAATGAGATTATTGATGGCAGAGGCTTTTAAAGAAAGACTAGACTGAGTGAGAGAAGGTTCTTCCTTACCTGTGACGGTCTTTTCTATTCCCAGGCCCTCCTAACTGCAGACTTCATCCCATTCTTCCCTTGTCTGAAGGAGGCCCGTGCTTCTGCTCACCTCTATGTTATTCTTCCACCCACCCCTCTCCACCTGGTTCGGTTTTTATGTCATTTTCCACAGTATATTTATGTCTATCCTAAATTTTAGATACAGAAGCTAGTTCTGCTTTTACTCTGTGTAATTGTCCAATTTCCTCATTATAGGCAGTATGTTCCTTGAAGGTAGGGAACTCATTCACCATTGTATCCCCAGCACTTAGCAACGCGCTGGCACATAATAGATGCTCAGCAAATGTTTATGTTTGTTGAGTGCATGCCCTCACTAGGAATGCAGAACAACCTGACACTCTACTGCAGTGTTTGCAAAGTTTTGGACTTACAGAGGCCAACAGTAAGAAATACACTTTACATTGTGACCTAGTACAATGAAAAAAAATAATAATAAATAAATAAATAAAATAAATATATATGTCACACAAAACTGAAATGCTACACAAAACAATACTTTCTCTATTTTTTAAACATGTATTCTATTTTCTATTACATCCTCTTTTAAGTGGCCCCAACCCATTAAGTTCATTGTATGATCTACCGTGTTGCGACTTGCACGTTTGAAAAACACCGCACTAATGAATGCACAAATACTTGAATCCTGTTGGGTCTCTTTCCTTGGGTTTCTCTTGGGCTTAAATAATATCAACACCCTTACTCTTTTCTTCAGAACTGTTTTCAAACATTTTAATAATTTACCATGGCCACTTTCCAGCTTCTCTCATTTTCTCCAAACTAAGGCTCTAAGCAGGGTTTAGTCACTGCCAAGAACTGGCGGGTTACTTCCCAGCACCGGTACTTGTGGCTGTAGCTCCGCCCAGCTCTTGCCCTCTATCCAGGGACGCTCCCAACAACACAAGTTCACGCCCACCCACTTCGTGAATCTGTTGCCTGTTTGGCCCTCAGGATCAGAAAGGAGTTGGTCTTTTCTCGTAAAGCATTTACAATGGAGTCTCAGTTAGGGTCCTGTCCGTTTCCCACCAGTCTTTCTCTCTCTCTTTAGACCAACGTGTGTAGAGTGAACACACAAGAACTAACATGTGCAAGTTACTACACTACCTCTGCACCCACATCTAGGAGCAATTTTTGTTCGGCTCATTTTGAACCTTGGGAACACCACCTATACTAGATGTCTCTGGATATGAATAATTTCTATTCAAATCGCCAGATCAATAAAAAAGTGGACGGGACCAGGAACAGCAACACCTGTGCAGAACGGCGCCCCCTGGTGGGGAGTACGGACAGGGCGTGGTCACCCACCCAGAGCGTTCCCTCAGTCCGCCTACACGCGGATACAGATGCGCGGAACCTCCTGCTGGCACCTCGGTCATCGCCATAAATAATTGAGGCCAATCCCCCGGGGAGTGACATTCCACTCCGGGCCAGGTAGGCCTACAACTCCCAGCAGGCCTTGCGCGAGCACAGGACTCCATCTCCCGGCGGGCCCCACGCCCGGTCGGCAGGTCAATGGCCCGCGCTCCCAGTAGATTTGTCCCTTTTTTTACCTGACGGCCGAGAATGACTGGAAGCGGAGGGGGAGCAGCGGCCTGCCTGCGACAGGACCGTTCCTAAGCCCGACCCGAAATAAATGCACCAACATGATGCGGCAGGAGAACAGGAGCAATCGGCAACAGCAGTTTCACCCCCATCCCACTGAGGTCTCCATGTTGGCTCCGACCCACATCCCGACAACCCCCTCGCTCCTCGGCGATGATTGGCGGAGAGAGACATCAATTTCCTTGCAAGCTGTGATTGGAGAAAACCTTGTCCACTTCCTCCTTTCGCAACTGTGATTGGAAAGAGCCGCCTGCCCCTCCTCCCCAGCTCTGGGCGGGGCTCAGCAGGATGGGGCACAGCCCTTTGCCCGCTGCCGAACCTTGCTCTGGGGTGACGTTTTGAGGATATGCAGAGTGCATTCCCCACCCTTGGGTATTCATAGTAACGCGTCAGCTGCTGACCTCTGGGCCATTCTGTCGGTGCTGCTGGCTGACGCTAGAGGTCCCAGGGTGTCCAGGGAGTGTACAAGAGGCAAAAATCAGCTGCGGAGTTTTTTTCAAAATATGTGCACGTTCCTTGCCACCCACTCCGCTCTCCCGGGGGGGGGGGGGGGGGTCAGAGCTGTGGGGACGGCAGCGACGTATATTTGAAAGAAAACTCCCCCGCTGATTCTGATACGCTCCCCGTACTCAATGGTTGAGGACCACTCGTATGGAGGTCCGGTAGCTTATGAAGGCGCGACCTCAGACCCATCAAAGACCGCAGGTCAAGCTGACTTGCCCAAGGCTCCCACCACACAGCTCTTGACCTCTGTTTAGCGTTTATTTATTTCTTCCGTGTAATTATTTGTTTGTGTAGCTGCCTCCCCCACTGGACTGTGACTTCTTTTTGGGCAGTGGCTCGGTCTCATACATCTGTCCCCCCGCCCCCCACCTCAATGCCTAGCAGGAAAAAAATGCCCTTTATAATAAATTGACTTGAACTGAGGATGGGAGGCTGTAAATGGATGAATCTGGGGTGGAACTAGGTAGGAAAATGTGCTAGGAGTAGTCTGAGGTTGGGCTGGTGTATGGGGAGGGTGTATGCGACGGATCCAAATGTGAGTGGTGGGATATTAAGGTGAGTGAGGTTGAGGAGAGACCAGACAAAACCCCACATAGCCCATCTTGACAGAGAGAGCACGGGAAATTCCTAGCTCCTCTACAATGTGGGGTTCCATTTGGGGCACTAGGATGACAACTCTAGAAGAGGCGAATCTTGTTATAGCTCTGCCTCCTGATCAGGAATAAAACTATCCAAACCCTGGGCTAGGATGACAGTTCCCTTCCCAGGAAGGAGGCACAGAAAGAGAAACAGGCATATCTGGACTCAAATTTTGTGGGCAATACTATGCTTGATTGCTTCCATAATCCTCCAGTGAACAATCTGGGAAGCACTCTGTTTCTCTCTCTTTTTCATGGAGACTGGCCCCTACATCAACCCTTGGGCCTAAGCCCTGGAGGCCTGACATCTGAGTGGCTGAGTCAGAAACCCAGGCATGGACTTCAGTAGGAAACCTGGTGATTCAGGGCTTCAAGAATGGCGTTGGACAAGCCACCAGACCAGCTGCCTGGGCCTCTTCCTCCTCCTCACTGAGGTGGCAACAAGGAACTCAACTCAGTCAGCTCATCCCTGAGTGCCCAAATTATCCTTCCAAATCCTGGACCCCCAGCTGCCCTCTGCTGGTTCAGTCCTGATGCGTCTTAAGTGGCCCCAGAAACTGGTCCAGGACTTGGGGGAGAGGGTTTCAGGGTTCAAGAGGTTGAAGAAGTATACATAGTGGAACTTCCAAGGAGCCAGTCTCCCCTCTTCCTTTCTTAGTACTGTCACACAAACAAAATGGATAGCCTTTTCTTTCTTTCTTTCTTTCTTTCTTTCTTTCTTTCTTTCTTTCTTTCTTCCTTCCTTCCTTCCTTCCTTCCTTCTTTTGGTAGTAAAGCATTTCTCTGTTGGTCCCTCTGTGTGTGTGTGTGTGTGTGTGTGTGTGTGTGTGTGTGTGTAGAGAAGGAAGACAAGATTTTAAGAAATCAGGGGTTTAATACCTTGGCCCCATAGACTTATAATCCTTTGACAGGGTTTTCTTTTTGATTTTGTTATTTTGGCTGCTACTTTCTGGCATCCCCTTTAAATCCACTTGAGGTCTGAGGATGGAACAACAGATGGCTCCTCTGGTCTGCTTCAGCCTCTGCTTCTCCAGCTGACACCCCTCCCAGGCACAGAGGTGGGGCTCTGAGAGCTTTGGCTGAAGGTTGCCCTGGAGAGGGGTGTGAGTGCTTAGACAGGTGACTGCGAGCTGGGACGCCTGGGGCCTGCCCCAACTGAGTCACTATTGCTGTTGTTGTCACCGTCCTGTTGAAGTCCCTGCTCAGGTCCCCAGACCTCTGTGGAAACAGCAGCAGCTCCCATCTTCCCAAAATTTCAGGAGAAGCCACCAGCCTGATGGTGAGGCAAGTGGGCTGGGGGGGGAGCAGAGGGCGGCTGGGGCGGTGGGGAGACCTGGGGCCTGGATCAGTGCCCCTCCTCCCCGTGCCACTGCCTCCTCTTCCTCCTCCTCCATGCCGGGGGCCTGGGGGAGGGAGGGTCTCCATCTTCTCTCTGTCCCCTGCGCCTCACACAAGAAGTGTGTCTTCCTCAGTTCCTCCTCGGGCCCCGGGGGCCTCCTGCCCAGCGGTGCAGGCCCCAGGGGCTTCTCAGCCTCGCCACAGTGCCCTCCCCACCCCAGCCACACCCCCAACACAGGTAGGGCCCGTGATGACACCCATCTCTGCTCCCCCCTCCTGGGGTTCCCGTTCCACCCCATCCCTGGCCTCGGTGACTCCCCCTCCTTCACGCCGATGCCCCCAGGACAGTCCTGGGCTGCGGATAGGCCCTCTGATCCCCGAGCAGGATTATGAGCGGCTGGGGGACTGTGACCCTGAGGGGTCCCAAGACTCACCACTCCATGGGGAGGAACAGCAGCCCCTGCTTCATGTGCCTGAAG